TTCTAATCCAATAGAAAAACATTATATTTAAAATTAATCATTTGAGTTTTCTAGAATAGTTTATAAGCTTTATTAGTGGAAATGTTCAAATTAGTATTGGTGGCAAAAAGAAAGAATTATTACCAATCGAGTCGCCGTCAACGCAGAATGCACCTCCTCCATCGTTGCTCCATCATGCAGATCTTCTTCCTCTCCTGAAGCAGCGCTTCTCCTCTTCTCGGGCCACACGAAGTGTGCTCGCGAATAACTATTTCCTCGCCTCTCTGGCAAAGCCCTTGTCACCGGCGAGACCGTTTCTCTAAGTTTTCTCTCCGTCTCTTCCTCTGCTCCTTTTTCATGGCTCATAGATCTGCATCGTTGGTTGTCCTTTCAACCCTCTCGCCAACAGTTGGTTTGGATCTGACCGGGACTTCTCCTTTCTGGGTGTTGTTTCTTTCCGGCGTAGACCTCTCAAAACCATTGGAGCCTCCAGATTCGCCTAATCTTCCGGATCCACCGCCTCCCACTTGGTCAATAATATTCGATTATGTCCATGTCGTTTTACAAGTTCAAACCTCTCAGAGTGTTCCGTCGGCTCACTCACGCAAACCCTCATCGTTGCTCTAGTCGATAAAGCAACACTGACTCATCTTGTTAGATCTGTTCAAGGCCACCGATCATGGTGGGATAATGATGTTGGGCTCATTGAAGCTCTCTTGGGACTGTTGTTTCCCAGCCCGTCAAGGCCAATGGCCTTTGTCACTATTTTTTCAATATCATGCATGTAGAGAACACTAACATCCTCCTCCCTTCTCGGGGAGAGATTGATTCCATCTTCCTCCTCTTACGGGGATAGAACTTTCACTTATTGTCTCCTTTCTATGAAAGTTAGTCTATCTTCAGACTCAATACTGAAGAAAAATTTCAACTTATTCACCAATTTGTTATCTTGTGTAGCGGTTTCCATGGAACCTGAAGATACAACCGGAATCATTTCGATGACTTTCGGAGGTGGGAGTTGTTTCTCAACGTCACTTCAAAATGTTACTAATTCTCAAATTTCGGCTTTGCCGTGAAATTATCGACGCATTCGAACTTTATCTCTTAGTAGCTGTCAACTCATCTCGAGGATGAAGATGTATATGCTTTTATTCTTATCGTATTATGTCTCATTATAGTGATCAAAGAAGATGTATTTCCCTCCTCTTCTTGTAGTTTGGAAGATTAAGTTTAATGAAGAAGTTTTGCACATAAAAAAAAAAAGTTTATAAGCTTTTGAGTGTAAAAACATTTTAATTGATACAATTAACATCATCAATTGATGTGTTTTGTATACATTGTATATT